TGATGCAATAAAACCTTCTTAGTCTTCATTTTTCTCCCATCAGACCAGAACATTCATAAAGTGAAGGTGAGTAGATATCAAGAAAAAGTTATGGACATCCAGGAGGGAAAAGAAAAAGGAGAGAAGAAGTGGGAATAGTACAAAAGGTAAAGCAACAAAAAAAGAAAGAAAGAAAGAAAGAAAGAAAGAAAGAAAGAAAGAAAGAAAGAAAGTAAGTATTGGAAAAAGAGGGTAAGAGAAAATACTGAAGAAGAAAAGAAGATTGGACAGAAAAAAAGGAAAAAGGTTAATGAGAAATAAAAGACTAGAAAAGAAATGAACAACAATAAAAAAGAGAATGGGGAGGGATACAAGAGAATGAAGAATATAAAGAAGAATAAAAATGAATGACAAAGAGACAAAGAATATTTTTCAAAAAGTGGTTCCACCATAGAAACCATATATAATAGAATATTTTTTAGGCAAATTCTTTGGATCATGCTAAATCTATTGTATACTATTATATTCTGGATAGATTTTCAGCCATATTGAATTTTACAGAAAACACATTTTTTTTTAAATTTAGGGTTTAGTTATGGCAATGCCACAATGAATATACAAAATGAAGAAAAAAACTTTAACAAAATCGAAACAATATAAATCAGCTTAAATGGAATATGCAGAACAGATTCAACAGAACTGATGCACAAAACACTGTCTCGATAAATTCTGTTATGATCCAAAAATATCTAACATTTTTTCATAACCTTTGACTTCAACCTTGACTTAGCTGTCTCCCTCCTGAAATATTTAATCAGGTAATCTATAAACCATTGCCCATTCTTGATGAAATTTAATGTAATTTAATGCATAAAATTGCTTGCCACTGCCAGACAGTCAAGCTGAAATGCAGACAAGAAAAAATGAATTGGAAAGAGAAGACAGTGGAGAAGACGAGAATGGAAAAAGAAAAATTCTCTCATGGCTGCTTTGTATTAAGGAAGTGTAGGTAAAAAATAAAGAATTTTGAAGAAGAAAAGAGTTGATGATCTGAAATGAAATTGGATTTATGTTTTTATACAAAGATGTAGATACAAGTTCAAATAATATTGTGATGTTTGAAAGAATTATGGAAGGCAAAGTATGGGAAAATGTAAAGCATGAAGAGGTCATATGAGAAAGACATAAAAGAACAAAAAGAGAAAAGAAAATGAAGGCAGAAAGAAAAAGTGTAAAAATGAATGAGGATAAAATAGAAAAGAAAAGTTTTTAAATATTCATAAAGAAAGAAGGTAAAGAAGCATTAGAAAAAAAAACATAAAAGAAAAGAGAACAGAGAAAAATAAAATAAAAAATGAAATTTAAAAAATAGTAGAAAAGAATATGGAAGGAATAGAAAAAAATAAAAAAAGTAGTGAAATAAAAAAAAAAGAAATTTATAAAATTAATGAGAAGGAATGAAAAAATGTTAGATAAGAAAGGAAGAGAAATAAAAAGGAGAGAGGATAAAATGAAAAATGAAGAATGAAATAAAACAAGAATGCATGCATTTAGAGAGAATTTGAAAAAAATATTAGATGAAAAGATAGGGAAAAAGGAGAAAGAAAAAAAGAATTAAATAAAAAGAATAAAAGAGGAGAATGGGGAAGAAGAAAAAGATAAAGAGAAATGGAAGAAAAAAAGATGAGTAAGGAAAAAAGAGGAGAAAACAGAGGAGAAAGCAAAAGAGAAAAAAGAGAAAAGCAATGAATTGATCCTTCAAGCTGATTGCCCAAGTAGAACATGTCACATGTCGTTCACATGTGGTTTTGGCTGGTGACACTGTTGCTATGGGCAACACAAGAGTCCCAGGCATATTGGAATCCAGTCATTGAGCAATTAGTGATTGGTGAGCCAACACACAAACCAGGCTGTATATATTAACATTGCAATTTAAGAAGATTGCCGTTGTTTGTAACTAAAAGCCAGAACTGGATTCCATTACAAAGTAATTTCATAATGCTGAGGGCAAGCTAGAAAAATGTTCAGCCTGTTCTCTTTCATTTGCAATGTACTAATCCCATCGTAATAATAGTAGAAATATGCCATGACTTTCTAACCAATTAATTTAGGAATATGGAATATGAAATTTGGAAAAAAAATTTGGAGCAGTAATTCATCCTTAAGGCAAGCCCCTGGTAAATACTATTAAATATAATTTCACAGTAATAACTGTAATAGTCAAACCTTAGTCATAATAATTATATCTATGATAAAAATGTATACATTATCATGTTTCATCCTATCTTTTGTGAGTTATAAAATTTAACCATGATAAACTGTAAAAGTTTTATTTCAGTCTCAATTATTTGGACATAAAAAATAATTTTTACAAGCCTTTACTCCAAAGGTTATTTCTTGTACACATTAAAAATGTCTTTCTTTCATCTCCATCAATTTTCCTATTTATTTTTCCTTTTATTAATAATTTATCTTTCCTCTGCTTTGCTTTTCCATTGTTGTTCTTCCATATTTAAATCATTATGAAAGTATAAAAATACAATTTTATAGTAAAAATACCAACAATACATTATTATATAAAAAGAAATTATCAATGACACATATTCATAGTAGAATTATCAACAATACATTTTATAGCAAAATGACCAACAATACATTTTATCTGTAGTTAAAGTAATAAAACTATGTTCAAAATATTTACATTCTGGCATTAAATAACTCATAGGGGTTGATATGTCTTGAAACAAAATAAAAAAAACCTCCCTCTATAACATTATGTATTTTTTTAGATCAACTGCAACTTGACCATATTGAACCTATCAGACTTTACATTAAGACTGGAGTAAATGCATGTGTCATCAGCACAGACACTCAAGTGGAGAGCTGATGACATTGGGAAAGTTATTAATGAAAATTAAGAACAAATTAGGTTTAAGACATCTGCATTAATATAAAAAGATCTAGAAGAGTGGCCATTCAAGACAACTTTCATTTTGAAGTTAGATAAGAAAGATTGAATCAAATGAAAAATTTGTCCATAAATACCAAACCCTTTCAACTTGTGAAAAAGACCAGCATGCCAAGACTAATTCTTAGACTTCTCCTAGACTTGTTGCCAACATAAAGCTGAAGAGAACTGATAACCCAATCCTAAACAAGAAACAAGGAATAAACATCTACTCCAGTTCAAAAAATCAGGAAGAAATGTGAACTGAATGATAGGCAATCCTATCTACTCCTATTATGTATGTGAACTAAAGAAAATTATCACAATTTCAAAATGCTTCAATAATTTTTAAAAGAATCTGCCTAACCTTTCTTAAACACAATTTTTAGACAACATTATGGTTTCAATAGTGCAAGTGATTAAAAATAGCCAGCAGTGTAACTGTCAAAAATGGTTAAAAATAAAGTGAATAATTATTTGTGTATGGATACTTCAGATCAAAGTAACTGTGTGTGCTTTGTCTGCCAAGACCCAAAATATCATCCCTCCACATCAGATCAGTCTGAAACTACATTCCTTACTTCCACCAGTTCTAACCTATATGGCTAAGACTCACCATGCTATGTGCAATATAGCAATCTGTTGTATCCTTAAAGAAGGTTACAAAAAGACAAAGGTGGTACTCAAGTGAAAGGAACAGCAAGACAAGCATGAAGACATGAAAGAAAGAGAGGTCTATTGTAAAAGAGAATACACTGAATCGACAGGGAATCGGTTAGCAGGCTAGTAATTACTGAAGTAAGTCCACCAGGTATATCCCATGCTTACTATATATATCTACTGTTATAGTCAGTTCACATAGGCGATAGGGAGTATGGGATATTCCATTACAACAAAATCCAAACCTCATTCCCTTTGTATTCCATTGGTGAGATGCAAGTTTCACTAGAGCAGCTTCTTCCTACAAACAGTTGCTTTGTGGAACTGACTCCCAAAAAGTTGTGTTCCTGATTACTACAATCTTAACCTATTCAAGTCTAGGGTTCACTGTTATCTTCTCTGCTTATCTGCATAAACTCTGCCTTTTACTTTGTAATGCTCTACCTCGAGAGGCTCCCGGGCATTGTACACAGTGAACATCATTGTAAACAACAAAAAAAAAAATGTCTCTATGCATTTTTCCAAGGGCTAAAATGTCATTCTCTGGCACCCTGCCTAGGACCTATGTAGTATCTCTGCATTCTGGCCTCAGATCAGTGTAGTATCTGTGAATTCATTCCCCAGTCCTCTGTTTTGGATCAGTGTCATATATGTACAGACAGCAAAGGATCAAAGTCATTCTTAGGTCCTTTGCCTGTTATTAGTATACATACTACCAAGGATCACTGTAGCACCTGTGCCCATTGCTTTACCTCATAGGTACAAGTTATTTTTATTATTCTGTTCAAGCAGCAGAATGCAAACATGATAGATATGTCACTTGCCTGCTTACTCCAAGGCTGGACATTCAAATCAGGACAGGCTTCACTTGTGACTTTTATATATGTTTTGCTTCATTGTGATATAGATTATATATAGTGAAACAAAGAATCAAGCAGAAAATATACACTTTCATTATACGTGTGTGTGTGTGTGTGTGTGTGTGTGTGTGTGTGTGCAAGTGAGAGAGATTTTGTATATGAAAAATAAATAAAATGGAATCAGTTGATAGTAATGAGATTAAAGATTTTTTTATAGTCCAACTTGACATTGTTTTGCAACAAAGACACTGGAAGACTATGTAGGTTTATCCGTTGTTTTTGTTTAGTGACATATCAACCTCTATTGGTTATTTCATGTCAGAATCTAAATATTTTGTACAAAATTTTTTTTTTATCTTGCGATAATAATGGTTTTCATGATAAGTTTTACTAATTAACCCATTAAGCTGAGGGGAAAATAGGCGAATTGATAACTTTCTCAAAAGTATTTTCTCATAAGTGAATATAACGAACCCAACCGGAATTGGAACTCAGCTCTTCAATTAACAATTTCAAGTCATTATCTATTACACCACCTGCACAATCCAGTTTATAGCACATGATATTCCCAAGTGGTCACCCATCTAGCTACTGAATAGGTTCAATGTTGCTTAACTTTGATGATCATATGGAAACTGGTATTTCAACATGATTTGGCTGGAAGCCTGATTATGAAGGTACATCACAAAGTCAAAAAAGCATCCATTTTTCACAACAAATATTTTTCAACATACCCATCTTCCTTCTTAATGCACTTAATTTAATGGTAAATATTAATCAAATAGACATTATACAGTGAAAATTTCAGCTAATAGATATCGTAAGGCTACAGGTATATCGTTGCATTCTCTAAAAGTGTGATGGATAATGAGAAATGAAGATGAAATAGGAAACAAAGAGGGTATGGAAAAAAGAAAGAAAGAAGCATATAAATTTATAAAGAGAAAAAGAGAAAGTAAAACAAAGAAAAGCAAAAAGGACTAAAAAAGAAATTGAATATGCAAAAGAAAACAAAGAAAGATAAGTTTAGAAATGAAGGGGATTTTGGAAAAGAAAATGAAAGTGAAAATAAAAGAAAAGATTAAAAAAGGAATGCTGAAAAAGAGAATGAAGGGAGAAAGCAAACAAAGAGAGGATGATGAGAGAAAAGAAAAAGAATGAAGAGGAAGTAAAAGAAGAAGAGGCCAATAACTTGTTGAATGAAAGATATAAAAAAAACTAAGAACAAAAAAAGAGTTATTAAAAAAAATTATAAAGAAAAACAAAAATAAAAGAATGTCAAAAAAACAAAAATTATTAAAAAGAGTAAGAAAATATTGTTATCAGAAAAAAGGAAAGAATAAGAATAAAGTAGAGGTGAGAAGAAATAAAAGAAAAAATAGGAGAAGGAAACGAGAGATAAAAGGTTGAGGAATTAAATCCCAAATAAGAGTTAAGGATTAGAAAGAAAAAAAAAAAAGGAACAATGTGAGTATAAAAATAGTTTTAAAAAATAAAGAATGAAGAAATATTTTTAAAAAGAAACAAAGAGAGAGAGGGTATGAAAAAGAAATCAATATGAAAAGAAAAAAAGAAATCCCAGCCAAGGCAGGCGTCTGGAAAACGCCAACATATATAAATATTAATGTTTATTGATTTACATTAAAGTGTTAAGTTGAAAGCAAAAAAGAAATGGGAAGAAAGAAAAACAAACATGCAAAAAAGATGATGGAAGACATTTTTTTTTTTAAATTTCTTGATACACTCTGATGAAATTAAGATCAACTCAGCAAAACATAAAATAAAAGTTTTGCTTAAATTCACAATGACACCCAGGGGTCAACATTTTAATCTGTTTCTGATTTTGGCATTCTGCAGATGCATCAATTAATAAGGAAAATAAGCAGAAAAAAAAGGAATAGAATTTGTAAAGAAAATAATTTTTTTTTTAAATAAAAGAAAGTCAGTTCATTGCAAGGAATTTCCAGAAGCCATTTCAAATAATGATATTTTCACATGATTTCGTAAGATCACAATTGACTTAACATGAGGAAGATTTGCCATGCAGATAAAATGGAAATGTTCTCCCTATATAAATAGAAGTATTTTGCTCCTAATGGACTGTCTCAATGGATTTATTAATGAGTAAATAAATCATTATCTTCACTGTTGTCCATTAATCCAATGTCAGTATCGTTCTGTCTCTTTTATTGGCAACCGTGTATAGACGACATTGTAATCTTGTTCAGGTGTTATGAATCCATGAACAAAAGTAATTTTTTTTTTCTATGTACTGTGTCACTTCAGGACATTGGCAATCACGGCTCTCCACAATTTCCTCTCCTTTTGTCTTTTTTGCCATCAGTCCCAAACCCTGCTCTGCCATCCATTCACTCAAGCTTGCCAGGTAGGTTGTGCATTGTTTTTCTCTGGTCCTCTTACCTTCAATCTGTCCTGTCAGAGTCAAATTCTCCAAGACCTCCTTCCTCATTTTGTGCCCCAGAAATGTCAACTATCTCTTCTTGATGTCAGGCCTAAGTGTCGTTTTTGTTGCCATTGACTCTAGAACTTTGTCACTGTTCACATGTTTGGTCCATGGTATTTGCAGAATTCTTCTGTAGAACCACATTTCTGTTGCTTCAAGCTTCTTCATCTGTGAGAAGTTTGTTCAGCATTCACTGCCATAGAAAAGGATTGATACTGCTTAACAGTTCAGTATTCTTTTCTTTGATTCAAAGGTGATACTAATTAAAAACTGAAACAGGAAAATAGTAACAGAGGCTACTTATTTTTCATGTTTTTTTTTCATTGGATAGATTCATTCAGCACTAGAAAAATGTGTTCCTCAAACACACTTGGTTTCATACAAAGTTGTTTTTGGCAAAGTATTCAAGCAAATTATTAGTCATCAGGAAAAATCTATTCACTGGACAAGAAAAATATTTCTTTAGAGGATACAATGAAAAAGAGTAATAACTGAATTTGAGAAGGATAATTTCCTGAAAAATTGTCTTAAAAAAGATTTTATAAAGTTTCAAGTGAGAGTAAAAGTTCAGTCAATAAAAGTTGAATGTTTCTTGTAGAGAAATGGTTAATATCAGCATTACCTTAATACTTTCACCAACTCATTATCCAAAATTAATCAGGGGAGGTAATCCTGAAACATTAGCTCATTAATACTAACTCTTGTCTTTACTCAGCTACAAAATTGCCAATTTTTTCCTGAAAACAGATCTTACACTTGTCCACACTACTTTTACAGAGTTTACTTCATTTTAGAAATTTACCGCTGATTTTTTTTTGGGGGGGGGATACAGCATTCATCTTTGATCTTCCAATAATCAACTAATAGCACTGTACCATTCCCATATTTCCTACAATTTAAACTTACTTTATGATTATAATACCTTTTTTTTAGTTCTTGAATAAGAGAACAGAACTGATGAGTAGGTTTAACCATGTAAATAAACATCTATTACGTCATCTGCCAACAGACTGAGGACTTTCATTTCTATCCTTACATTTTTAGTTAGATTAGGGTCACTCGAACTTGGTAGGTCTATCCACAGAGTTTTTCTTTGTTTATTTTCTTTTCGACTCATGGAAACAAATATATTCACAGGTTTATATCTCCACCCACCACAACCAAGTGAATATTTAAAGTGGCTTAATCAAACCTCTTTCATTCTTTTTGTCTGAAGAATCGCTTTTGCATGAAACTTGGAACAATGATTTAGCTCAGAGTCCCTGTATGCTTTGTTGTAGTGTTTGTTGTCATCACATCCCTGGCTTCTGTTTGGTTTCATTTTAGAGCATTACAGAGTTTTGCTTAGGTAGGTGCCTGTCTTTCCTTTTTTTTCTCAAGGTTTTCTTCTTTGGAAGGCTTGACATTGGTAGGGTTAGTTTTGGGTACTTTCCCTTGACTGATCACATGGTTTATTATACATACACACACGTATATGTGTGTGTGTATTTATAATAAAGCACTTGTCTATTCAATTCAGCACTGTTAGGGAAAGGTAATTCCAAAACAGTGGCCGTCACTGCTATTAACACACCACTCTTCATGAATGAATTGAACACTGTTGGCTACTGGCGTTTGTTTACATTCATATGTAATATGTTAAAATTTCCCTTCCTTTCTATTGTGCATCGATAACTTAGGGGTAGAATCTCAGACCAATGCCAAATTGGTAGGGTTTCGAGCATAGCTTGAAGCAACCAGATGATTAGCCACACTGATGAGCTGTGATACAGCAAAACAGGCCTGTATGTGGATGACCATAATATATATATATATATATGTGTGTGTGTGTGTGTGTGTGTGTGTGTGTGTGTGTGTGTGTGTGTGTGTGTGTGTATGTATGTATGTATGGTGTAGCACTTTTCTAGGTCACCAGATGAATACACAACAAAGACATGTGACTTGTCCCTATTCTGTAAGAGATTCTTCTGTTAACATAATAGAAATAAAATTGTTACATTAAATGTGATAAATAAAATTCCACAATAGTTAAAATTATTCAGTAATGAATACAATGTTTTCTCTTTAATTTAGTATTCAAGAAGTATTGAACATAAACAAAAAAAATACAGCAACATAAAGAAAATATTACATTTCATAATTGTTGCCTTTCTAGATTTTGTCTATTATTGCTTTGATATAATTGATCCAAATACAAATTTTCTCAGGTACATGAAGGAATTACATTTCTCTTATTAGGTGTTCTTTTTGCAACCATAATTCTCAGGCATATTATTAGGTGTTCTTTTTGCAACCATAATTCTCAGGCATATTATTAGGTGTTCTTTTTGCAACCATAATTCTCAGGCATATTATTAGGTGTTCTTTTTGCAACCATAATTATCAGGCATATTATGAGGTGTTCTTTTTGCAACCATAATTATCAGGCATATTATTAGGTGTTCTTTTTGCAACCATAATTATCAGGCATATTATTAGGTGTTCTTTTTTGCAACCATAATTATCAGGCATATTATTAGGTGTTCTTTTTTGCAACCATAATTATCAGGCATATTATTAGGTGTTCTTTTGCAACCATAATTATCAGGCATATTATTAGGTGTTCTTTTTGCAACCATAATTCTCAGGCATATTATTAGGTGTTCTTTTTGCAACCATAATTCTCAGGCATATTATTAGGTGTTCTTTTTGCAACCATAATTCTCAGGCATATTATTAGGTGTTCTTTTTGCAACCATAATTATCAGGCATATTATGAGGTGTTCTTTTTGCAACCATAATTATCTACAATAAATGCTAATTCTTCATTGGAATCTTTTAAAATTAATTCACAACTTTCACTGGTTTTATTCCAACATTTGATATTAAACATTCAGCCCTTCAACAGATAACTGAAGAAGACCCAAGTGTACAGCAGCCAAAATATAAAACAATAAACAGCATTAGTTGGAATAAATCAACACTAATAAAACCAGAATAACATTCAAACCGGAAAAGAAAAAAAAATTCTACCTGCCTTTTAAATTCTTTTCCTATTTTTTCTTATTCACTTCCACAATTTTCTCATATTTATCATCCTTTTACTCCTTGCTGCCATAATACAAACAGTTTTTACATGACTTTCATTGATCTCTTGCACATATTTTGCAAAAGGTAAGCAAAAAGAAAAACTAAACATCAATTTGTACGAAGACA